ATGTCATTATTTAAAGACACTGTTGAGCCAAAACCAAATGATTTTTTGTCAAAATTTGTGAACAACAATGATTCTCAATAGCGAAACAAATACATCTTTATTCAATTTTTTCATATAGTAATTAATTACGTGTATCTAGATACATAAAAGGTTTTTTTTCTTTATGAATCGTAATGAAGTAGAAATTAATTAATTTCAACTAACCTTTTTTAAATAGTTTTATTGTAATAAAGATAAAATTGTTCAGGAAAAATAAATATACTATGTAAAAAGAAAGTATTCTGTATTTGCCCTAAATTTAAGGATGTTAAATTTATATTTTTAAGGTTCTTATCCTTCTTGTTTTCCACTTGACTACTTCATACAGATGCTTAAGACTGAACTTGATAAATGTTCAAAATTCTTTGTCCTGGCATTGTCACCAAAAATAATGTAAATAAATACTAAATAGTAGATATGAGATGTTAAGTACATGTTAAATTATAATAAAACTACAAAATTACAATTTAAAAAACGTTAAATTTATATTTAAATAAAATGTTCAAAAAATTTAACAAATGAACCATTATTTATCACATGTTACTATTTTTCCCCTCTTGAAATTTTTTTATATATTATATACCTATATAATAGTTATATATTTTTTTATTACCAATGAGAGCAATAAAGAAGATTTAAATGTACATTAATATTTTTTAAATACATTTTACATTATCAAGTAATATGAGTAACCATATATTTATTACATTTTATTTATTTTTAGGTTTAATAAATAGTGAAAAGAAGTTATTGTTTAATACATTTCAAAGAATCTTTTAAATATATATAAATAGTATGATTATAATAGATAATATATTACAATATTTGGATTTGAGGAAAAATATAATTTTATTATTTAAAACAACAAACTTTTTTATTATATATATATATACTAGCTAACCCGACAAACATTGTTTTGTCATATAAATTATTTCTAGAGAATATTTGGTAGAAAAAAATAACTAATTTAATATAGGCGTGTAAGCATGTGGTATATAAGTGGAAGAGTAATGGAGTATTGTATATATATATATATATATATATTAGATGTATTTATTATAAATATTATTAAGTTATAATTTATAAGTATGAATATATGTAAAATTAACTATTTTGATTATCAAAAAAAAAAAAATTATCATAGTTTCACCATTGATTAAACATACAATATATTATATATATATTTAATAGTATATTTAATCAATGGTTTCACATCTCTACCGAAAAGATCAACAATTTCAGCATAACATTTGTTTTTAATTTTTTTGTCCATTTACCAAAATTAATTGTATATTTACTATAGCATCAAGCATTAAGTATTTTATAGTTAATTAGATCGTATACCCTCCACAACATGCTGAAGAACTCCTCAGCAGTACAGGTAGTTCCTAGGATGCTATGACTAATACAAATTGATGAGTAAACTATTTCCAATTTCTAATTTCTAAATTTCTGAAGAATTGTTGTAATCAAACCAAATTATTGATTCATCTCTAAAATTGTCTAGAAAAGAACTATACTTTTTTTTTTTTTTAAATATATTCATTAAACGATCTATCTTGATGTTTATTGAGCTTGCTCATACAATCTAGTAATAATTGAAAAGTAGAATAAGGAAGGTACTATTAATGAATCAAGATATCAAATAAAATAGTAATTCAGTTACGTGTCACTTTCGACCGAGCAACATGTTTATCGTATCGCGCTCTCATATTTATAGCTTTCGAAGCAATTAGCCAATTTACGTGTAAATCCAGGTGATATGAATATTTACCACTCTGTCGAATTCTTTGCACTTACACCTACCCCCTATTAATATCTCTTATCCCAAAAATGGGTGATTCACCCACAAATTCTAATAATCTGAGAACTAAACTAATCCAATCATCAAAAACAACACAAAATAATAAACCTAATACCATAATGTCCAATACCGTACACACAGCCATCAAAATAGATAACGATACTAATAAGCTACCATCACCTGCACAGTACTCCGATAAAGAAGCCAACAATGATCCAATTAAAAACATCGATACAAATACCCACAATCATGATTCCACCGACAAGACCAACAGTATACGGAGTGTGCCCAGTGACAAACCCTCATCACATTAAAACATCAACATTGAACCCGAAAAATATGTAACCAGTAAAAAATCTTTCGCTGAAATCACTATCAACGCTAACTTACCAAAAAAAGAACAAGCAATCGTTTTTGATTCCATAGACAACATACCCCAAATTGAATATATCATTGCAATTAGCAAATTAATACTATCTAAACACATCAAATACGTTTCTCATATATCGAATAACCGATTTTGTATATATTTCAATGACAAAAATACAGTGGACTTTCTTATAATCAACCTTCCCAGTATTACATTAAACGCCCAGATATCAATTAAAATTAGACGTTTAATAAACCCGGCTAAAAGAATCATTATTTCTAAAGTCTCTCCCGCAATACCAAATGACATTATATCACAATTAAAATAACACAACATACAAATATTATCACCGATTACAAACAACAATGCTGGATTCAACATTACAGAACTTGCACATATCCTTAGTTTCAGACGCCAAGTCTACATAAATCCAGATGATTTTAGAAAACTTCCTAACTCTCTCCTGATTAACCATGAAAATACTCCATACAGAATTTTCTTATCCGATGACACACTATACTGTTACTTATGCAAACTCAAAGACTACACCTCTAAACAATACAAAAACCCTCCATCAGAAGCCCCAAAAACTAAGTTATATGAAGCTCCATTTTACAACAAATCCACAAGTAACTATAACGTCACTGATGATATAGTAGAAATCAATAATCCCACATGTGATACACTCAGAGACCCAAAAATCAACATCAATACAACCATCATTGCACAAACATCAATTCCACCGCCCCTTCTCGATGCTCCATTAACAATGGAAGTAACAACGGAAGATAACTTAGTATTGACTCCTATTACAACTGATGCGAAAAAAAGATCAGCTCTCACCTCAACTTCATCAAGTACAACTGCTGACTCGCCTTCACCTAATTCTACTTCGCAATATACTATCCCAAATGATATTAATTTTTCTAAACCAAATACTACCAAAACATCTAAACCAGCAACTAAAAAGTTAAAACGTAATAAATCCGTCGAAAATATAATCCTACAACTCGATGAAATACTCGAACCCACTAAAACCCGATTTGAAGAAATAACCAACAAAAAAATGAATTATAAACAGTTCAAATTCATAATTGAAAACTCGATCGGCATATCCAATCCTGATGCTGTACTAAAAAATTTCAACATTACAAACTTGGAAATGATCGAAATGTTAGAGATTATTAAGCCTAAAATCAAAATCCAAAACATGAAAAACAGATTAACGAGACTGTGTAATTCTCTCCTTGACAAGGCTCTCTCCACTGAGCAAGATCAAGAATAGTACTACCACTAGAATCAAATATCATAACTCCCTCTGTATTGAATAATTTCACTCAATTTTTAATAAACAATACACAATTAAAAAAAAAAAAATTTAATTAAAACGTAAATTAAATCAAATAAGAATCAAACCCAAACTTTAGTAATTAAATACAGTCAGATAAAACAATAATCTACTCATTAAAACTTAAAAAAAAAAATTCAAAATTATATCAAAAAACATAAAAATTCTTCAATGGAATTTAAATGGATTTTATAGAAAACTGGACGAACTAAAATTACTAATTTCCGAACACAATCCAGAAATCCTATGTTTACAAGAAACTAACTTCAACAACTTAAACACCGGCACACTAAAAAACTACAATGAATACAGATCTGATAGAACTGATTGTCTTCGTGCAAGCGGTGGTGTAGCTATATAAATAAAATCAGATTTGCCTAGTAAGATAATTAATATAACTACACATTTAGAAATTGTAGCTGCCTCCATTAAACTGAAGGATATGGAACTTAACATATTTAACATATACCTTCCTAACCAGCCAGGGCCGGATAGTTTTTAGAAAATAAAAAGGGCATACACACGAATAGAGAAACTATTAACTAAGCAATCTCTAAAACATTTTCAAATCATTTTCTACCCGAAATCGAGGTAATGCAACTTTCTAACTTCTAGTTTTTTAACCGAAAATAATAACATTTAAAATATAGTAGGTATAAAATTGTGGATTCAATTATCACATAGATAGTAGTTAAAAAGGTATTCAACGCTCTTTATTAATATTGCGACGGTAGTAATTAGTAATTAAATTCACAACAAATAATTATAATATTTAGCTTAATAAATAATAAAAATTAAATTTATAGGTTTAAACTTTAATCAGTTTACGTTTTAACTTTGTATTAATGAAATCACTTATAATATCTTCATAATTTATTTGTCTTAAAATGTCACTCAATGCTAAGTAGAGCTTACGTGTTGAGCCTTTCTTCTGTCATGGATGTTCGGAGACGGTTTTTGATCAACTTTAATTTTGAAAAAGATCTTTCTCCACTGCTGTTGGTGACCATAAGTGACAGGTACATTCTTAAAGCTACCTCAATATTAGGAAAACAGTCTTACATTTTTTTCGATTAGAAGCTGGTACATTCATCTTTCCTGAGATATAACTTTATCATTTTTTCCATCATCATCTTTTAGAAACTCTTGGTAAAAAGCCTTGAATTGAATCAGTTAATTTCCTAATTGATCGTCCAAGTCATTATCGTATAATTTTACTAAATTTTGAGCTGCTAAAATTATCTTTTTATCATCAAGTATATCTAACTTACAAAGAAACCCAAAACGGTTATCAACTAGTTTATATGCATCAAGCCTTTGTTTCAATGAAGATTCAAGTTGATCTATTACAGGAAGAAAACTCTGAATTCGGAATCTGTTTGAAGAGCTCATCTCAATTTCTGGTGTTTGGACACTGTCAAGAGGGGACAAACGCACATTTATTTTACGCTTACGCTGTGTTTCACTATCGTACTCAACAAAACTGCAACATTCACAACATATTCTTCAAAGCTATCTCGTTTTGTTCCTATGAAGCTTCTTAGCGATTTTAGTGCTAAAACAGCTGTGTTCACATCTAATCTAGGATTCTGTAATGTTTCACTAGTTTTGTTTACTTGTCCCAAGATATCATTCCAAAATACTGCGTAGAGGCCTGTCTGTATCTTTAACATTTTTTTATATAAACTCAAAGCAACAATACGCGATTTTCCTAATTCTTCTTTATTCTCAGAAATTTCTAAAAGTACATTTTTTATTTCTTCATAGCCAAGTAAGAGGGCTTTTGTAGCATCTGCTCTGCATGACCAACGTGTTGTTTTTGTCCTTTTTGGTATAAGAATGGGGTTTTCAGTTTCTGCTCTTTTTAAACAATCTGTAAGAACTTTATACCTGTTAGTCGAGGCAGTGAAATATACATAAAGTTCTTCTAAAAAATCGAAAAAGCTCACAGCACTCGGACAGCATTCAGCAGCAGCTTGCACTACGAGATTGAGTGAGTGCCCCAAGCAAGGTACCCATAGTGCCAAGTTATTTTCTGCCAGTACTAACGCATGAAGGCCATTATACTTTCTACTCATTGAAGAAGCATTGTCGTAAGACTGACCACGACAGTTTTGAATGTCAAGTTATTTTCTTTCAAAAATGTGTTCAATCCTTTAAACATATCTTTTGCTTTGTGACCTTGGATAGGCATGAATGCCACAAATCTTTCAACAGGAATGTTTTCTTCTAAATACCTGAAAATCAAAGTAAGTTGATCAACGTGACCTTCGTCTGGAGTTGAGTCCAATGATATGGAATAGTACGTTGAGTGTTTGATTCGAGAAATAACTTCATTGAAAACTTTTTTGCCAATTAGTTGCACTCCTCGCAAATCTTCGATGATAAGTAGTTTGTGTGGCCACTTCCTTGGTTTCCATTTTTTTTTATGCGGTCATTTAAAAGATGGTCATACTTTGCAATAAGCTCCAATATTCCAAGATAGTTACCATTTTTTGGAGACCCAAAAGTTTCGTTTTCACCTCTAAATGCCAAGCCCCTTTCACTTATAAAAACTATCACACTTATCAATCTCCTGAGAATTTCTCCCCAGGTTTTTGCTTCATCTTCTGCTTGTTCTGTCAGTTTTTGATCAATACGTCCCACTTCTCTAGACCGTGGAGCTAAATTAATAACAGAATTCATGTGGTTTTTAGAAATTTCGTGTTCTATCAGACGTGTTACAGCATTTTTCCAATCGCAATAACCACCATGAGTAAACTGAGAACGTGTTTGGGAAAAAAGTTTACATACAAAACAGTAGACATGTCCATTATTAGGAGAAAAGCAGAGCCATGAACGTTTTATGATCTCACCGTTTCTTATTTTTCGTTCAAAAACATTTGTTTGGCATTTTCTTGTAAAATTTTTTTCAGAATGTCGGTCGCTTTGCTTAAATTATTTATTATCAATTATATCTTTGTCACAGTTTTGAAAAGCTGAGGCGCCTATTTTTATGCAGTAGTCAATATTACTTGATGTCATATTCTCTGGCCACAATCCAATGTCATTTTCCGAGCAAATATTTTCATTTAGAACAAGTCCAACAGAAACCGCTGGAGTTGATGAAACCTCGAGAATCTCCTCTACAATTTCTGAAATCTGAAAAATACATGAAAATTATTAATTTTTAATGTTTTAGATTTATTAGTTGTTAGTTATTTGCAAGCTCGGATTAACACGTTCAATGCCGATGCCTATTTGTGGTTCCGATACCGCGTCGCCGCAACAATTTGATGCTCGGTCGATTACGCGCTGTATACAACATGGTGTACACATACGTGGATATCTAATATAATTTTAGATGTAAAACCAATACAAATATTTTCTGA